CTTTACTTTCCTCTCTCCTTTCTGCTTGGCCTGCTCCTGCTTCCCCATACAACCTTCACAGGCTGTACTGAATTTAGTTACATGTAACTGTGGCATTATGCCCCATATTCTTCATAGAGATATTGTTATGATATGATTAGGGCATAACTATGATGTATCTTATACACGATAGGTCATGTGACATATCATTGAAAAGTTATGATTTACTGAATATGATTATCCTATTTGTATGCATGTATCATTTTTGTATCTGAAGTTAGGAATATTGTCTATGCATCTATTACAAATGTGTTTACACCTGGGGAATGCCCATAGGCAGAATGCAATCAGTCTAGATGGCAGGTTGGGAAGGACCAGTAGGGAGAACAATAGGTCTTTGAAGATTCTAAGCTCTCACCGGGAAGCCTTCCTGGGGATGCTGCAAACAGCCTCTGAGTCATGGCTGCGGTGGCCCTACAGGGACATGTGACCAAGTCTCCTGGTACTGGACTCCATCATAACGCTAGTGTTTTTCCACTGATGGGAGTGGGAATCAAACTGCGAGACAAAGGGTTTCCAACATACGCAAAAGCTATTTAAGGCAGAGGAGTGACATCATCGTGGTTCGTTCTTCACTGACTCCCTGCCCAAGAAAGAGGACTGCTGGAAACACCTGAGAAACAAAAAGACTGAACTGGGGGAAAAGGGCTCAACCCAGACTAGATGGTTGTCTAGCCTGTGAAAGGAATTACTGGAGTTTTAAGCTGCAACAAGTGTAGCTTGCCTTCAAGAATCTGGCTAAAACATTACGGGTGAGAATTTACTACACATATCCAATTTCTTTAGTATATTAAACTTAGATTGCGTGTTTGTTTTATTTGCTAGGTAATCCTCTTTGATCTGTTTGCTATCCCTTATAATCACCTAAAATCTATCTTTTGTAGTTAATAAACTTGTTTTGTTTTGTCTAAAACCAGTGTGTGGAAATCATAAATGTGGGGCAGAAAACTGTATATTCCTCTCCACATTGAGGGAGGGGGTGAATTTCATGAGTTTATGCTCTACAGATCTCTGCACAGCACAAGATGGTACAATTTTGGGTTTGCCCTATGGATGGGTGTACTTGAGTACCAGGCAGTTCCTTAGCTGAGCCTTTCCATTCAGAGCCAAGCTCAGCATCTGTGTGAAGCTGCAGCTGGATATGTCCCTACCTCTATGTGTGGTGGTAAAGTGCAGTCTGAAGCCTGAAGGAGGGCTCGGCAGACTGCACAGCAGTACAGTGTAAAGCGAACCTAGGCTGGTGGATCAGGCAGGCTCAGTGGTACCCCTGTTCCAAGTGGCATCCCAGGGGGAATCCATCACAGTTACCATTTCAGTTTGCTAAATGGGGCCCTCTTCATCTTCTGCCCTTGATCTTCCCCCAATTTGCCTTTATTAAAGCTACAGGAAACAATCTTAAGCAATCCTTAAAAGAACAGATAATGTTGATGCAATCAAAAATTAATCTTTTGTTCAAGAACTTGCATCAATTTAAGATTTCCTTTGTATGTGGTGAATCTTTAAAATAAAAAAAAGCATACACTGTGGATACTCAGATGCAATTCTAGCACAAATCTGTGTGTGAATACTAACACATTTGGCCACTGCTCATGAATTTTGGATGCACAGTACAGACCATATTGGATCCGAATATGTATCTATCAGAAATACATACATTCTATCAGCAAAGTTTCAATGCAATCTCAAACAGCCAGCTGCTAAAGCAAATGAAATCTCATATTTGTAAACTGCGCATTTTCAGTATTAAGGAGTACTTAATACAATCACCTTACAGTACTTGATGCTTTTATATTGTACTCCATTTGTACAAAGAAAACAGTGGAAAAACAATACTCATCCTGTTGGAGATAAAGATTTAACGTGTTACAAAGTAACAGCATGATCTTTTTGAAAACCAAAAGGCAGCATTCTACTCCTGAAAAGATTTCTTTGCACTCAGAGTTAACGATGTTTTTCCACTCCCTCCCTCTCGAGTTAAAGATGAATATTTTACCAATCCAGAAGTACAGTTTTATAAAAGTTGGTACAACTATGTATTCAGCATTGCATTGTAAATTTGAAATTGTCACAACAGAAGCAATAAAGGCAATGTTTTTATTATGACTCAGTGAAAAATTATAGCTTGCCACTTTTCATTTCACTAGTTATTTCTACAAAGTAGCAGACCATCAGCCAGATCCTCAGCTGATTCATATTAACGTAGGTTCCACTGATTACAGTCGAGCTATGCCAATTTACACCAGCTTAGGATCTGGCTCCAGTACTTATTTTTAAGTAGACAGAACTACAGTGTGTGGAACTGATGAAGCATTTATTATGATAACATTAGAGATAAGTCAGACAACGTTAGAAGAACAAGTAGAAAATGTTATTTCTTCATCTGATGTGGAAAGGAAGGGTTGTGGGCAAAGGGAGTGAGCTAAAACAGTCACTCTCAGTCTTTCCAGACTACTGTACCCCTTTCAGAAGTCTGATTTGTCTTGCATACCCCCAAGTTACACCTCACTTAAAAACTATTTCCTTACAAAATTAGACATAAAAATACAGAAGTATCACAGCACACTAGTACTGAAAAATTGCTTACTTTCTCATTTTTACTATATAATTATGAAATAAATCAATTGGACTATAAATATACTGAAAGGTAAGTATAATATAGTATATAGAGCAGTATAAACAAGTCATTGTCTGTATGAAAATTTAGTTTGTACTGACTTCGCTAGTGCTTTTTATGCAGCCTGTTGTACAACTAGGCAAATATCTAGATGAGTTGATGTACCCCCGGAAGACCTTTACGTATCCCAGGGATATATGTACCCCTGGTTGAGAACCACTAAGCTAGAGCACATGAATAAATCTTCCCTGAGCATAAACAAGACATGCCAGCAAAAGGTATAACAAAGAAAATGGTTCAGTATCCTCACGCTCCACAAAAGCCAAGATGGATATATTTTTCAAGTGTTTTTATTAAATAGTTATCATCATTACTGTAAGAAAGCCAATTAATATACATAAGAAAATACAGACTTTCACATTCATATCCAATTCCTTATTCACTGGTTTGGACAAAGCAAAAAGTGAACACCAGACAGTTTGTCATTAATATATTGATTTTTTAATCACTCCAAAAACCCTGCCTGCAAGGCAATGTCATTACATTAGAGGCTGCTGAATATCCCAGTAAAGACTTGATTGGGCATTTTCAGCAACAACAAAAATGCTCTTTCTACAAACTTCTTTGCTGCCTGTTCCCTTTCTCCCTTTGTATCCAGCCTACTTATGCCCATCTTCCCTATACATGGTGCTAGGCCTTTTCCTGAGCACATCACCTAACCTCCTGATGCCCTTCACCAGCTCCTCTAGACCAGTGTTTTTCAAATCGTGGGTCAAGACTTGGTATTGGGTCACGGCATTCCAGGCACTGGGTTGCCTTGCTCTGGTCAGCACTGCCAACCGGGTTGTTAAAAGTTCTGTTGGCAGCGCTGCCCAACTAAGGCAGGCTAGTGCCCACCTGCTCCAACACTGCGCTGCACCCCGGAAGCGGCCAGCAGCGGGTCCAGCTTCTAGGCAGTGGGGCCACAGGGCTCCGCACACTGCCCCCACCTCGAGCACCAGCTCTACACTCCCATTGGCCAGCAACCGGCCAATGAGATCGGGGGGGTGGCGGTGCCTGCAGGCGAGAATTGCGCAAAGTACTGCTGCTGGCTCTCCTTTTGAGACCAACTTCTGTTTCCTGTCCTTGTACTTCACTGCAGCTAGACTGGCTCCTCCAATTTTTTCCTAGTTGGTTTTACAAGCAGCCAGGCTCCTTTTTAAAGAGGATGATGCTTGTTTTGCTCTACTTTTAATTAAGTAGTTTGCTGCATTCTTGTTCTTTAGGTTTTGTCAGCTTTTGAGCTGCTTGTTAAAACTTGTCAGGAATTTTCAGTCAGAATGATTTTTCAATGGAAAATGAAGTTTCTGTAAAATTAAAATTTCCCATGAGAAAATTTTAACTGGCCTTTTTTAAAATTATTTTCCATAAGGAAAACCAAAACAAAATATTTAGCTCTGGTCAGTTTGAAATATTTGGTACAAGAACTACATCTCCTATGATGCAATGCAGTCTCTCCTGTAACCAAGCAGCATGGTGCATTGTAAGAATCACCTATCTGCAGGTGCCTTATACCAGGTGTCGTCCAGCTAAGGAGCTCAGACCACAGGAGAAAATGGCGGCATCAGGCACCCAAAACTACACAGCCCAGAAGACAATACGCCACCACACGGCAATGCAATTTAATGTCAAACTAACATGAAAGGGCACATCTCAGGTCAGTATAACAAACCAAATCAAAACATTTTGATTCAGGAATATCAAAACGTTTTTAATTGAAAATGCTGAAACAAAATGTTTTGTCATTTCTGAATCAAAATTTTTCAAAATGTTTTGATCCGCAAATGTTTGATATTTTAACTTTCGTTTTTGGTGAAAATTATGCACACATAAGGGAATGTATATAGAAATGTTGCTGTGATGCAATGATCTTCAGGACTCAAGAATTCCTACTGATTACTCTGGAATATAGCATCAGAATTAATACAACTAATAATAATAAATATTGAACTACTTGAAACATCTGTATCAATATTAGCACACATGTAACATTTCAGGCCAGAAAAGCTACATAATATTCTCAAATATCTCTTTAAAGCAGATCTTTCCTATTATTTATGTAGGAATATTTAGCTTATCCCTCGGTTCAATTTTATAAAAATCATTTAACTTATTCCTTTGTCAAAAATTAATTGTTAATATTATTATGGACAAAGGAAACACAGTGGTATGTGAGTATACATCATCATTTAGAAGATTTTTGAGCTATTAAAAAAGTCTCTATGCATTTTAAAGCACAACAGACTATAACCCTAAAAATAACAAGTCCATGGAGTAAGAAACTCCAGTTTCTCTTATATTCACTCACCTTACAATACAGAGGCAGACTTTGCCTCCTGATGTTAACCGGCAAAATCCAAACTTTTGTTTACTTTCAATGTCTGTAAGCACAAAGGTAAAGTGCTGTCCTACTTGATTTTGGGACACCCTAAAAAAAAATTAAAAACAGATTGTAAAATGGCTAAATCATATATGACAATACACTGAAAAAGAAAACAACAGTTTTAAAATTTTACAAATATTTAAATCAGTTAGCAGCATGGACAATACTTTTTCTAGGAAAAAACAGTATTTTAAACTATGAAAAATGAGAACACAGTGATAAGTTTTCACAAATCCTGTAATCAAAACTAAGCAAGTTTTGATCCTAATCTTCAAGGTGCTCAATGGCTTAGGTCCTGAATACCTAAGATCACATAATATTCCAAGATGAGGACTGATCCACCATACCACACCTCATGCACAGTGGAACATTCTACCACAAAGGGAAAGCTTGTCTGTGCAGGAGACAGAGCTTTCTAATTTATTACAAACACACACACGTTAAAGTTATGTTAATATTGCAAAGTCAAGCACTCAAAAGTCACTAAGTGCCTGTGAAAAAAATAGTGTGAGGTAATTTAATTAAAGACTGCATCATAATGCATACACACAAGGAGGCCGAGTTAAGGTTGTATAGCAGTAACCCTCCCCAAGCTTCTCATTTCTCTCACCCCGAAACTCCTTGCCCAAGTCTTCTTGCCCAGCAAGTCCCAGTCTCTACCCCTGGGGTTCCCATTCCTGTCAGCCCCACACCCTCCCAGGCTCCTTGTCCCAATCTACTTCTTTAAGTAACACAAGTAACATCTTAGAGAGACAAGGTAGGTGAGGTAATATATTTTATTGGACCAACTTCTGTTGGTGAAAGACACAAGCTTTTGAGCTTACACAGAGCTCTTCTTCAGGTCTAGAAAACTTACTCAGAGTTGGTCCAACAAAAGATATTCCCTGACTCATCTTGTCTCTCTAATATCCTGGGACTGACATGGCTAAAACAACACTGCATTCAGTGAATAACATCTATCACGTGTGGTTTGCTCCCTCTCAGAGGCCTGTCTGAGACTATGGAATGAACTCCCATAGGAACAAAGGACCACTACAAGCTTTACCACCTTCCACTCCAAATGCAAGATACACTTCTGTAAGCTGCCTTCTGTCACATAGCAGCATTAACATATAAAGCGGGGGAGGAGGAAATGACCTCTATAGTGCACACACAATTCTCTTCCTGTGAGAAGATGAGAGAAAGAATGAACTACATTCAATGAATGTTAGTCACATTGTTTAATCCACATCTGGAAGGTGCTCAGATTCTACAGCACCAAGCCCGTATAAAAAACCAATATAGAACAAGCAACAACATGTCCGGTTTGGCATTCATAACAAATTGGTCCTCCAAAGGACCAATTGGATTAGGTCCTATCTGCACATAAATTGGCTGTACTGAAACATGAGCCCTATTTGAGTATGCAGGTAAATAATTAACTACTTGTCTTTACTTTCAAGGCCCTTTCTCACAGCTTAGAACCTCTAATATGGTATATAGCTGTCAACCGCATCTTTGCTCTGCCAACATCATCAACCTTCATTGCCTATCAGTTAACTTTTCCAGTGAACACCTCTGTGCTTTCTCCTACACCTTGCCCCTTTGCAACAGAGGATGTCCCTATAAAAATCTGCACTGCACTTCTTTCAAATCTCTTCCTGAACTCACAGCTTCTTTGATACCCATAATTCACTCAGCAATGGCTGGTCTGTAGTTACACATGATCACAGCATATTTAGCATAATCATCTCACTTACCTTGTGCTTTCCCTATTTGCTTGTTGTATCCTATTGTCCAAAGTCTTATACTGCAAATTGAAGCATTTCGGGGCAGAAATTTTCTTTTTGTTGTATGAGTATACAATGCCTAGCACAGTGGGGGTGCAGCCACTAGGCAGTATAGCAATACAAATAAAATTAATAATTTCTCCTATACATAGTAATATGTGTTTCTAATTTACTGTTTCAGTAGGAGGTTACATTAAAGGACCACCTCAGCATCTTTGATCCACCATACCATCTACACTTGTCTGAGCCAAAAGAGCTTTATGCTGGAGATAAGACATTCTCAGTAGCAGGCCACTATCTCTGGAAATTGCTTCCCAAAGAAAAACACTTACGCTCAGATCTAGCACATTAAGAAAAAAAAGTGCAAGAAGATGAAGGCTTTGACGCTGCAATCAAATCTGTGCAAGCAAACCTTCAAGCTTATGTGGGGCTCTATTTGCTTCTACGCAGCTGCACATAGACATGAGTGTCCCCCAACCTGAATCAGATTGCAGGATCAAAGCCTAAACTATAGTATTAATTCCTGGGTTCCTAACTGAATAAGGAGCACTTGGTGTTTTCTCCTCTTATTTAGAGCACAGGCTGATCCAATTCAAGCCTCATAACAAAATTCTGAGATACTATGGTGATAGGAGTCTTCTGAATATAAATAATAATTCAACTTAACCATATATTGTAAATTTTATGAAAATTCAGCAGATGTTACCAATACAAACAAATGTTGACACTTCCAATTCGTGTACCTACAGTATACATTATGCTGTGATAAATTCTCTGACTACAGAGATTTTGAGTGATGTCATTTAAATCCAATTAGTTTAATATTATCAGCTTCTTTGGACCCAAGTCTCTCTTACAGAAATACTTAACAGTCCTTTATGCAATTACCAGAGAACAAGAAAGATGGCTGCTGCAAGCTTTCCTCATTGTGAAAATTCCCCTCAGATCTTTGACATATATAAATTATTATATATAGTTCCACATTTCATTACAGAGCACAGAATTAATTGGTCTAGTTCTGGTTGAAAAAATATTTTCTAAAGTGTTGGTCAAAAGCAGATAATTTTAACTGAATGTAGCCCACTCTTCTTGAGCAAAATGAACAGATGCAAATTGTTACATATTCTGTTACTGACCTTTTACTCACTCTCTCATTCCTCTTTTCTGCCTTTCTTTTTATACGCAACTCCTGCAATGCATGCTTATATATAATTTTAGTTTAACAGTAATAAATCATAAAATAGTGAAGAATGTGTATAAACACCTATTAACTACAGACTACAAAGGGCTCTTTCAGGGTCACTATAATCTATCACATAAATAAATCAAGTTTTTTAAATTGTCTACATCCATTTTTACATAATACTGAAACAGCTCTTTGGATTATACAGTAGATAGGGAGTACTTTTAAATATCCTTATTCATATTATAGAGACATAAATTTAAGGCTTCCTTGAGATCTTTGGGTAACGTTGGAATTAAATCCCTTCCTCGCATATAGAAATTAGTGTGCATCATCCCCAAGCTTACACCACTTACTATAAGAGACATAACTATTTTTCTGTGATTATATGCAAATCTGTTTAACAGTTTAGGAGACTGAAAACATTAAAACTGACTCCTTGTTGAAGTTTTAGGATCCCTCTAAATGGCTTTGTTTTCATCTGTGAAACTTAAGAAAGATATGTAACACAGTTAAACAAATTTTCAGACTTGGGCTAGGATTTGAGGATATATTTAAAGAAAATGTGAAATAAAATATAATACCATTATTCATCCTAACCGTGTCTATTATGACAAGGAAAACTGATGGCTATGGCACTATTCTGCTTACAGCTCAGCCAGTTAGATTTTGAAACACTTAAAGTTCTAAACACAAAAATCTTTCAGCAGTTCAGCATTTATCTGGATGAACTGTAAGGAAGGCCAATTTCCGCAGACACTCGAAGGAGCTGTTCTAACTGAGGTTTGGGAGATGAGGCTAGAAACAGGTTGAGGGAATGGTGAGATAAAGACCTCTGGCAATCTCCAGCTTTGGGTCCTCAGTCCCCCAACGAATTCCTTTCCATGACTCCGGATCCAGGCCCCTGTCCCGCCTCCCCAGTTCCAATCCATATTCTATAACTCTAGCACTCAGGCACACTTTTCTAAGATTTGACTCTAGCTCCAGCCAACTCAGAGTAGCTGTTTTCCAGCTTCCCTGATCTCTTATGCCTCCAACAGAAACAGGCAGCAGCCTGAAAGCAAAGAAAGATTTAAACAGCTCAAGTTATAAAAAGTTTCCAATCTAGGAAACTCCCACATTAAAAAAATAGTTAACAGAGTTAAGGTTGCTAAAATGTCTTTTTCAATCAACATAAAAACTGAAAGAAACAAAATTGGACAGGATACAGTGATTCCATTGTTCATTTGATAATATATCCACATCTATATGATCAGTTTGCACAAAATAACTAAATGACCCATTTGGATCACAACCTTAATTCTAACCTTTCTTTGCCAAATTAGTTACTTAACCAAAAAAGTCTCAACACAAAATGTAATAGAATAGCCATTTTCAATAGATATTTGAATACAACCTTATAAACACAAGTATTCAACAACAAGCTAACATTTGTTTTCCATAGCCCAGAAAATTTATATAATCTTCCATCCAAAGACCATCTATGTATAAGCAAATATGGACTGAATCTTTAATAAAAATTGTCTTTATTGATAAAGTATGCAGTAACAGACTAGATAACTGGTATATATTATGGTCACAGCTAAGATTGTACATTGATCTGGGATGAACAAAGCATAAAGGGAATGCTGTATATAGTGGAATCACTTTAACTCTACATTTCCCTTATTTTCAGTGTTTGCCTGGATTAAAAATGCACTTTCATTACTTACTTCTAAAGCAAAGTTTTCTGTATGTGATAAATTACATAGGTACTTTTGGTGAGGACTGTACATCCAGTGACCTCCCACTTCCACTGACTACCATGCTTTCAGATCACACCTGGCTTCTGCACCTAGCAATTCCCCTAGACACATCAACAAAAACAGCAGAGTGAAAGTGACATCATCCCCACCGTTTTCACTTGTTGATCCTACTTGGTCACTGGGGAAATGCTATGCACAGGAGCCCAGGTGTGATCCAAAAGCATAGGAGTGATCCTCCATTGCTAGATTTCTTCCTTCTCCTCACGTACCAGCAGGGGTAGTAGGACTCCGGCACATAATGCTTCCGAAGTGACACCACAAGACCAACAGGTGAAATTAATGAGGTACCTATCAGCGTCACTTCGCTACTCTTTGTGATACTTCTGGGAACGTGCTACCTGCAAGCGCATATTTACTGTACTCTCTTCTTCTGGGAGGTGCTCTGCAGAAGGATCACAAGCTGAAGGGGGGAAAAGAGATAAACAGAAGATAGGAAGAAAGGATTAGAGGGCAGAGACAAATGAAAGGAGAGGAGATTCAAAGCAGAAAGAGGACTGAGTCATCTAGGGGTTACATATTGCAGTTAGGGACTGACTTTGATCCTTCACACCCTGGGCTACAAATACTATGAAGGCAGCCACAGGAGAGATGACACAGCTTGCATGGCACTTTAGTGACCCTCTGACCAATTAAAGGGACCTGCAGTCATGGACTCTATAGGGAGCCACAGCTCAGACTCTTTGGCTGGAGGGAGGATAACCACAATGAACAGAGGTTGATGGAGAAAATGGGGAATGTGAGGCCCCTGAAGAAACAGGAGAGACAGACAGACACAGAGACTAGCAGTTACAGACAAAGAACACGAAGACATGGAGAAGGAGGAGAAACAGAACTGATTAGTTTAATTTGGTGAAGGAAGGAAGGAAGGAAGGAAGAAGCAAGCTGTGTTAGAGTTGTTTTGCCAAACAATACAAAAGAAATGCGGAAATACCCTGTACCCTGAATGGTAGAATCCATCTGCCCCAGACAAAAAGGAGAGGAGAAGGGAATCCCCATGACAAACAGAAGTGAAATTAGTCACCCATTAATGGCACCAAAGGAGCGATTACAACTATTATACAACTGAGTGTCATTTATTAAAGTATGAAATTATTTATTTACACACCAGACCTAGAACTCTTAGCACCAACTGAGTAAACTCATAAGCACTTATATGTATGGGTTTTATTTTTCCCTTAAAAAAAAATCAACCACAATCATCACTAATGAAATTCAGGGTCTGAGTTAAATCACCAATAGTACAGAAATTGAAGTTAAAAAGTAAAATCCTGATATGCACTTTATACAACCGTGTCCTCCTCTGGTTTGCTTTTCAGCCTTTATTTATTGTACAGTGGCTAAATTAAGTACTGATCACAGATTTTTAGCCTCCAGTCATATTATTTACTTTTGAAAATTAGAAGGAATAATGTCTTAAGTATTTACCACATCTGCCCTGCTTCACCTAGCCTTATTTATGTGTTTATGGTTTTGGTTGGGTTTTTTTTTTTTTTTTAAGTTTTCATCCCAAAAGAGCATTCTATACAAAAACAAACACATTAAAGAGACAAAGATTATGGTATCAGAATACTCTGGCTGTAGCAGAATTGATGCAGTTCCACCGCAAAGTGGACCACTGCAAAGATTCTGGACCACGTAACCCACCACCTTGCGCCCCAGCACTCAGAAATTTTACATAGTGAGCTGATGAAATAGCTGGGCAAGGGAGCTGGTCCCTAACTACAGTCATCCACTGGCTATTCCTCAACCCTGCAAGAGTTGGAAGTAAGAGTACCTGGGGCTACTGCAGCCTCAAGCTGCTGCAGAGTTGCCCTACTGATGCTTAGTGGCCTGATGAAGACTCTGCACCCACGCCCCTCCCTCCACACAGATCTTCCCTCTAAATCTGGGGTATCCAGAAGCTGTGTACTAGATGTAGGATTTGGCCCAAAGGCAATAGTCCAGTACTTTTGAGTAACTGGATAACAACAATCTGGTGTACGCATGCAGTGCTGGATAACAGATCTGATAATGCATTCATTTTTGGCACATGACATACACAAAGGAGATATTTCATGCACCTACACAAACTCCTTTTGTTATCTGCAAACTGAGCCATCTGGTTCCCAATGCTAGTGACCAAGCAAAATACCACATTCACAAACATGTTTAGAAATTCCCTAACTCCACCTATTGTGAGTGTGCTGAATCCGAAAGCAGCTCTAGTTCCTGCTTCTGCCTATGTGGGTGAGTGGGAGACCTTAACAACAGCCCTGTGTTTACCCTTCTGGGCCCAAGAAGGAGGTATCAGATCTTTCCGTGGGAAGCTACTGCCACTGGCTCAAAAAAGTAGTCTTCTATCACCTTCTTCCCTCAAGACTAGTATCTCTGAGGTACACTTAGTTACACTGGCCTACACAGTAAAAGTCCATGGGATGCTCTCAAAACATTAACAGTGACCTTTCTTTGAGGTGACTAGGTCAGTATGTAAAAGTTTACAATGTGGAGTTTCTGTCCAGGAAAACAACATTATATAGTAAATACAAAAATGTTGCATCAAATGAACATTAAGGTTGAAGCACACAACCTTTTATAGGCTTTCCCAGGGTTCTCATCAAGTATCTGAGAGCCTCACACACCTTGAATAATTTATCTTCACATCACTACTAACAGGCTGACAAATATTATCACCACTTTACAAATCCCAGTCTGAGGAACAAAGAGTAAGTTCAAGATCACACAGGAAACCTGTGGCAGAGGCAGAAACAGAACCCACAATAGATCCCAGTCTATTACCTTTATCTTCCCTTTCTTGCAGGCTCTTACCTCATTTGTGACAAACCATACAACTAGTATGGTGAATAAGGCAAGACTCAGCCCAATTCACTACATAGCCTTGCCTCATTCACTATCCAGTTTGTGCACAGAATTAGGAAGGTGTCCTGTGGAAAGATGTAATATGTGATTACACAATTAAGACTTCATCGTAACATTTAGGATGTGCAGGGTACCTTGTCATTTAAAAATTTTAACTTTAAAAATTATTAATCTACTCTTTTTATGGAATTTCCACTTTTAATATAAACAAAGAAGAAAGAATTTAATTCCATCATATCATACAAGAGAGTCACAGAACTCTCTATAATGTGCAATATGGAGAATCAATGAGACAAGAGCTCTTGCCTCAAATTATTTGTATCTTTCTATTTTATATGTATAACGGCAGGACTCCTTCAGAGCCATGCCTCCGTTCATATGTTCCTTCAAGAACTGTTTTCCAGAATGTTCTAACTATAAAGCCTGAGATTCCATTCTACTTATTTAAACACACAAAAAAGCACACCCAATGGCACTCTGAGAGGTCACCTTTTCAATGAAAATTTTTACTACATGTATATAATCATGCGTGTACATTGTCAGAAGAAAGTTTGGGAGTTTCTTAGTTTTCTGGTTAGAATAAACCAGCATACATGCACAAAATGAACATTTTAAATCTTTATAACTTGTCCAAATTAAATCCACCAAACCAATGACTGGCACATCTATGACCTAGGGAATATGTCCCTGACAAATTTCAATTTTCCATTATCTTGTATTTGGGCACTACAGCCATTTAAAAAAAAACAGTTCACAACAAAATTTTCTTAGCAAAAATAAATGCTTCTTTTCCTCACTCCTGCACAGAGCACACCTACCAAACCTCAGCCCAACAGGTAAAACTTTGAGAAAACAGTAAACTGAACAAGAGCCTTTAAAATGGAAATGCTAGGTAACCTAAACTACAGACATTGGTTTGCCTGTTAATAGCTAACAATCACACACAGCAATTTGTGGAAATCATTTATTTACTGCTACTGGCTAAGTTTTTGCCACTGGATGGCAGCAACAGAACCTCACCCGCTTCTGTCATCTCCAAAGTTGATTTCCATGCCACACCTTCACTATTAACTTGAAACAGATACTCGTACATACTGTAAGCTCAAGAACGTACAGGCTTTAATGCACAAATACAAAATATCATCAACAGTGTTGCGTGAGTCATAAAACTTGTGTAAGGGATTGCGTGTTTAACCAGTTCAAAAGTCAAACAACTCAACTGAAGCGCAACATCTAAGAGATTAGGTGACCAAGTTTACTATCACATAACATGTATTTGTAAGGTTCTATGTTGCACCTGTCTTCTCTTCCAAGCCCTTCTTCGCTCCCATATACACATTAGTTTTACTGTCTTCTGTTTCCTAAATTGTAACACCTTTGGGGACCATTCTCTTTGAATCCCATCATGCAACTGATGCTAATACCATTGAGACCAGCGAAATCTGAAGGCTACTTGGGTGCACATTCATTAATTGTACAAACCAAGCTTCTACCGGTAACACAGTATCAACTGACTCACAGACAGACACAATGTGAATTTCCCAAACTACAAATCTACACAGTTGGTTAAATTAATAATCATTAAACTCATGATCAAACATTTTGATGAAGTAAAATAAATATTTGGTGCTTATAAAAAATATCTTGTACAAACATTTGAAATGAGTGGCAACTGGCATGTGGAAGCCACACTAAAACCGATATAAGGAAGGTGAACTACCATTTACAAACAAAGGTCTTGAATCTACCCTCAGAAAAATCCATTGCTGCCCGTGCACATTCAGTTACTGGCATGTAATTGAAGTTCTTTTAATTCTTATATAAGGTGAAACACAAACCATGGGTTATTTTTAAAACTGCAAGTGAGATTTTATATTTCAGTATATTGCACCATTTCTTTATTGGGAGGAAATTATCTTGTATAGTTATATTACACAGATGGTGTTTACAATTGGGCTGGAGGAAGTTGGGAGCCAGGATGCAGCTCTATATCAAAAGAGAATTCTTAAAATCCTAGCAAGGGTGTATTATACTGTGATATTTTTCTACTAGTGCCTAAATACATACTTCGAGAACAAAGGAGAAAATGTTTAGTCTTTATTCTTTTCACCTCCAGGTGCAAGACTAGAGGATGCAGTGTATTTTATTTTGTTCTTATTTCTTTAAGTCTAGACTTTCAAAAAGTTATTTTCATCTTCACTAAATAGATATATAATTTAGAATACACTGAGTTAAATATTTTTAAATAAATGATCACTGTACTACAAACCTTTCAACGTCAAAGGGAAAGCAGAACTTCGGCACACTCTGCAGCACCTCCTGTAAATACAGATTAAAGAAATAATGTTAGGATTTTAAAATGACATTTTATTTAAGTATTTCTGTTATACTGTTTGCTACAAAAAACATTTTAAAGAAATATTTGGTTGCAAGAAATATAGCACACGTTCCTGGACTAAAATAATTGATTATTAAAAAGGAATTAAGTTTGTGCTTTGGCAGATTGCAAAGACAATGCCATAGAAGCCCCAGGAGGGAAAGGCCTGGCCTGAAGGGTATTAACACCCTTCACATCCCCGCTGGGATTCCCTTCAACAAGGCCATATGGATTTTACAAGAAGCACTGCACCATATGGGTAAGCCACGTCTGCTGCTACTTGTACCACAGACTAGCCACAGGGACTTCTGACAGATCCTGGCTCAAAAATACAAATGTTGTTTCAATTAAAATGCAGGCAGAGAAAAGGGAATGAAGTTGGCAGCAAAATGAATTACTGAGAGGTATAACAACTCTATATGTGTTTCATAGTCAAATGCTGAAAACGATGAAAATCTTCTGTTGGTATAAAGTAGAAATTTATGCAGTTATCCCTTCAGTAGAGCAGTAAGGCATTCACAAGCAAACCTCATTATTAATTAATTAAAAGTAAGACCATCCCTGCAGTGTTCAGATCATCATGTAATGGATACTGTGTTTCTTTTCTGGACATTTTTATTTAAGAAGCTGTTTAGTGGCAAATAAAATGTGTTAATTCAAATATAAAAATGTCCTAATGTTTTTAAGAAGTACAAGATCTCTCTCTAGAAAAATCAGAGCTAACAGATCAGCTGTCAGCAAATCTGAATAAATGTATAATACTGATCATATAAGATCCAAAAAATGGTATTTATTTTCTTGCTTACAGCAAACCAGTTGGGAAAACAAGTCCTGTGTGAAATGTTTAAACTTAGGGGGAAGGTTGTTGATGATGAAATGTAGTTGGGTCAGTGATGTGCAGCACTTGCTTACTATACCAAACCTGCAAGCATTTATGTACATAAAGGTACCTGTATCAGTCATCCCGCTAAGTGAGTGTTTGCAGGACTGAGTGTGTAGGTTCCAAACTTCCAGTGCCAAGGGTCAGGATTTAGGTGCTTGACCTACAAGGTGCTGAGAACCCTCAAAACTCACTCAAGTGAAAGAATGCTGAGCACTTTGCAGGATGGGACAGCAACTCCCATATCCTGAAAGTCATGCAGTTAAATTCCTGTGCACTGTACTGAATAAGTGCCTTATCTTAAGTATTTGCCTGGTTTTACACAGTGTAAAACACCCATAGAAAAATATTAATATATTAACCAGCAAGGTCTGTATATTTTAAAACTCTGTAAACATTGCATGAGTGAAATGTGTACAGCTTTTTTCAAGGCTATAGCGTGTGCCCTGTAGACCACTACATTAGTGCATACAGTAAGAATGAAAAAGCCTATGAGTTCTGGAGCAGCTATGAGACTTTCACTCTGTGTGATAACAGAGATAAAGAATAGGATGAAAGTAATATGCTGTGTTTTGGGGAAGGATACTAACTCTCTTGATTATGGAAAATCTCTTTCTATGTAGTAGCACATATAATATTCTCCGAAGAGACTGCTGTTCAGTCTCTGTTTCGGCTGGCAGCAAGGGGCCAATGTGGAAATTGCAGGGAATAAAACACACACACACACACACACACACAAAGCAGAAAACAAGCAATAAAACAAAACCAAAAAACACAAACTAAAGAAAAAACAGTCCAAACTTGGTAATATATTAATTTTCAAATAGATCATTCTTTCAGGTTCACAAAATTTTAATTTTCTTTTTTCAAAGAAATAATTTCATTTTTAAATTTGCGGTCCTCAGGTAATAAAGCTCAACACAGGTACCTTCAACCATTTTCACTTTTAATATACATCTTAGTTTAAAGCATCATTTTTGTCTTACTATCAACAATATTAATTGCTGCTTGGTGACTATAGGACTTATTTAAAATAGGGAAGGAAATGCATTTCCAATATTCATCTAAGTTTCCCATTGGAGCTTTTTTTAAAAAAATAAATTACTGCATAAAGAAGGAAACAAAAGAAAGATATTAGCACAACATAAAAATCATCAGTACATTTTGCAACATTTTTGAGACTCAGATGAACTACAGTACTTTCCCATTGCGCTGCCTCCCACCCCTCCCCCACCCTGAGCAGCACACACATACACACACACAACTTCTGCAAAACACAGCCTCAGCTCGCTTCCCAACTGGCAGGAGCATCCCTCAGGGGACAAGTCTTTAAACCTCCGCACTCTTTAAAATTCAACCAGCCAGCAGGTCTATAGACTGGTGTATAAACAGTATAGACAAAAAAATCCTCTCTCAGCTTATGTCAGTGACAAAGCAGCTCAGCAGTTGACTGCTTCTCCCCTGACAGTGTAAGCTGGGTTTACACAGATCAATAGCTGGAAGTCCTACCTAGCTTCCAGGGCTCAGTTTTCTCCCTTAATTACAGGTACTATTCAGATTTTAAAAAAGTGGGAAAATAAGATGCATCTAAGATGCTTTCTAGGTGTCTTCTAAACACTGTTGGGGTGTATTAATTGTAAATAATCATGTTACACATGTATTCATACATATTAAGTATTAAAACATATTTAAAGAGGGATAGCTCAGTGGTTTGAGCATTGCCTGCTAAACCCAGGGTTGTGAGTTCAATCCTTGAGGGGGCCAGTTAGGGATCTGGGACAAAAATTGGGGACTGGTCCTGCTTTGAGCAGGGGGTTGGACTAGATGACCTCCTGAGGTCCCTTCCAACCCTGATATTCTATGATTCAAAATTGACACTTATTGTACAGTGACCCTTTCTCCTGAATGAAACTTGAACTCAGTTTTCTAATCGATCTTCATTTCCACGGGCCTGCACCTAAGACATACCTGCTTATTGGACAGAAAGATGTGTACTCATTAGAAAAAGAGCACTACACTAATTTATATCCCCTTTTATTTTAAAGGTTTAATAAAAATATTTATTCTTCTCTGATGAAAAAGTTACATGAATCTTCAAACACTAAGAAATATCCTTAATTCTAGCTTCTGGTGGATTATTTTCATTTATGGAAACTGTAATGTTAGATTTGCTTGCTTCCAGAAGAGTATTGACTGTTTAACGTGGGAAATAAAATTATTTTGCAACGTATTAGCTAATGCTAAAAGCAGTAACATTGTTGCCTTTAAAAATAGGAATTTTTGTTAATATTTGTGTAAACAAATTAACTTTGTTGTTAAAACAGGCAACTACCTCACTCTTTAGAAAACTTTCTGTATATACATATAAACATTAACAAAACCATTAGTGCAGTTATGCAAGCTTCAAAAATCCCTCAACTACAAAAAGGGTAGATTTATTTTCCTGAAATATCACACTCTGTGGGCGAAAGCCCAGTCCCCTGTGCAAAGCCCAAGTAGAAGGGGAATGGAAGTCACTTTCTCATTCCAGAGGCAGGGCATGAAGCATCTCAGCATAGTCTATTTATTTATATAATGTTGTAGCAGATATTGCACCTCCCATGGGGATTACAGTCCAGTAGTTCCTGGCAGTTCACAATTTCACTGACCACACCTTACCATTCCTCCAGCTTTCCCACAAACAGAGATCTCTTCTGTGGAGAAAGCCACTGCAGGCACCCGAAATATAAGAATGATTTTCTTTTTCTTGCTTAACTGTACGTCTATCTATCTGGGTTATTATTATATGGCATCCATCACCATGGTATATGCATCATCCAAAGCAAGTAGAGCTGAGGAATATAAGAATGATGCTTAATGTACAGGTGATGATGACCATCTGTTGTAGGAAATTCTCCTGCCAACTCACAGCATTGCCTTTGGAAAATATTACTGGTCTGACCTTTCAGTTAGACGACTGGCATAACATTCATTACTAAGGTTCTGTGACCTCTGTGACTTCTGCAGCAGCTGGTGCAGCAGCAGCAGTTTGGGTGTGGGAGGGCGCTCAGGGCTGGCACAGAGGGTTGAGGTACGGGGCAGCGGTTAGCTTGGGGGGCTCCCCGAAACCGGCTGGTATATCCCTGCACCTCCTAGTGGAGGGACCAGGAGGCTCTGCGTGCTGCTCCTTCCTGCAGGCATTACCCCTGCAGCTCTCATTGGCTGCAGTTCCCGGCCAATGGGAGCTGTGAAGCCAGCGCTCATTGCGGGGGCAGTGCCTGGAGCCCCCCAGCCCTCCCTCCCACTAGGAGCTGTAGGAACATGCCAGCCACTTCTGAGGAGCTCCCAGCCCTGCCAACCCTCCCCATCCAGCACCAGCAGGGGTCCCGGGCCACGCACCACCTCTGCCCATGCCCCCCCCACCCCCCACCAGCATCAACGAAGCTCCTGGGCTGTGCGCCACTGCCCACCTCCCCCCAGCACCCGCGGCGCCCCCGGACTGCCCTCCCAGAGCATCTGCAGCCCTCCAGCCCAACTTTTAGTTAGGGGTATATAGTACAAGTCATGTTTACTGCTCGTGACCTGTCCATGACTTTTACTAAAAATACCTGTGACTAAAATGTAGCTTTATTCATTACTAGCTAGGAAGGAAAAGGCTGGAATTTTAATAATGGAAGTCATCAGCAAAGAGAAGAGGATCTTCATTAACTTACACAAATCAACACTCAGAAATGCAAAATCCTTTAATTAATCTTTGTTTTGTGCAAAAACAATCATCAAGAGTAGATCAATCAGATTTTCTCTTAGTCAGACACTAAAAGTACTAAAACCCTTCCCAACCAGACCACCACAAATGGCTAAAAATATAGGGTGAAATCCTGGCCTTATTTAAGTCAATGGCAAGACTCCTATGGACTTCAACAGAGCCAGGATTTCACTCATAATGTCTATACAATACATTTTCATAAAGGTTTTGTAGGATATATTCTTTGCTCACCCCAATGTTATCCTAAAAAGCAGATTTATGATCCACTATAAACAAAGAAGTTCAAATTGTGTCATATTCAGAAAGTTGGAGTCTGA